GGCGGGAAAGAGAGGGGGGGGGCGTGAGAAAGAAGAAGGAGAAGAAGAAAATTTAAAGAAGAAGAAGAAAAAGAAACGAGGAAGAAAGATAAAAAGGAGAGAAAAAAATAAAAAAATAAAATTGTCGTTGGTTACTTATCTGCGCGATGGCGATGACAAGGACGGCGCGACACAGCAACGAGGACGACAGGCATGGTGGTGATGACGTGGCGCGACGGCGGCGATCCCGTCGGTGATGATGATGACGGGGCACAATGACGACGATCACGATGATGACGATGATGACGTGGCACAGCGGCGACGATCTCGACGATGATGTTGATGATGGCCAGGTGACGACGTCGAAGCAGGGTGGGTCGGGCGGGTTCGAACCGCTCCGATACCAGTGTAACGAGCGTGAGGCTGAGGGTGAGCCGAGGGAGAGGAGAGAGAGGGAGAGAGTGAGAGCACACACACTCACTCACTCACTCGATACGACGGACTCGAACTGAGGATCGGACGCAGACACAGTGGCAAGGCACAAAGTCGAAGTCTTGGATCCGAATGCCGAAACAGCAAGTCACACTGAGTACGAGTACAGCAGCAGGGAACTGGTACRAGACTGGTCCCCGTACCGTACGGGGAGCCGSTATAAGTACCGGTGACAYGTACGGTACCAGGGGYATTTCTGCAAAGGCCMCGAGGGCAGAACTGAAAAATGCAGTATTTGAAAGTGGCGCCCGAATTGCAGCATGGCGCCAGTTGTCCAAAATCCTACGGTACCAAAGGAGGGGTTTGGAAAAAGGGTGCCAGGCCGAAAACGGGATGCAGCCGAAACAGCAAAAGATAGACCAGGGAGGGAGCCCTGGCGAAGTCCGTAACAAAATCCTTATAACTTGTGTTGGCATCGCTAGCCAGCAGATTTCTAATGTTCTTTGGGACGGCATGCAGGTAACTACCCTGGAGTATCGCAAGGTCATATCTGATCTCCAGGAGCCTGAGGAGGCGGTCTAGTTTTTCAGTCACTGTCTGGACATTCTTGCACTTGACAATGTGGGTCTCCAACATACGGAGCTCATCTGCAACTTTCTATTGAGCTGTCGGATTGTAAAACCGCCGTGACGCTGTCTACACGTCCCGTGAAATCCTCCGGGGACTTGGTCTTAAGCCCAAGCCTCATCCACGCCCTGGCGAATACGGTGCTCTCTAAATAGCTCTTCCAGAGGACAATTGAAAAGGCAACTAGTGTGGCTAGATTACTAATGAGTCTTTTACATTGTCCGCTAGAATATACACAATGTCTGTTCAAAGACGTATCAAATAGCAACAATAAAAAAATGCTAACGAAAAGAAAACATGACGATGCGGTAACCGGAAAATGAATGCTGTTGAGTATTTAGTTTGAAATTTGAATCTATTCTATACTCCATTCACATCCACTGTCTTCCACTCCCAACCCCTTAAGCTGGCAGGTAATAATTATGTGTGTGTGTGTGTGGTGGGGGGGGGGGGTTGCTTATAGGAAACGATCCCACCCACCCCAGTGCATGGACAACTAAGCGTGGGTGGCCAAGACCCATCAAGAATAATTTAGGGTGGCCAAAAGGCCCAAAAAGGGCCAAAACCCGAATTATTTCGGGTGGCCAAAAGGCCGAAAACCCATCAGGAATTATTTAGGGTAGCCAAAAGCCCCAAAACCCATCAGGAATTATCATACTTGCAAGCAGACGGACCAGACGAGCGTCCGGTCTGGTCCGCTTTGCCGCGTGCGGCACCCTCCCCCCAGACCGGACGGACCCAGACCGGACTGGACGGGGGCGTTTTTTTTTGGGGGGGTGGGGTGGGGTGTAACTGGTCGTCGGGCGCACATTCGTGCGCCGCGCGGGTCCGGTCCGGCGGTCTGCCGCACGTGCGGAACCGCCCGGTTGGCATCCGCTTGCAAAGTATGGGAATTATTCATAATCGCAAACAGGACGACTCGGCCACCATGGTAACTCCCAGTTTGTCACAGCCCCTCGTTTGTTGTCCTCTTCTCTCTCTCTGCCTACGGTTTACCGGGCAGTTCTATTTGTGACGATATATATATGGTTAAAAAAGATAAAAATAAAAATAAAAACACAAATGCAAGGTCTAGAGCACAGCAAATGAGAACACACTGATGCTGAAGTGTCTTGATAAAGAAAAGTTAGAAAACCAAACTTCTCGCTTCCACTTGTCAGTACAACCACAATATAGAAGCTCTATTGTGATGCGACTGCCTATACTACTCTCTCTCTTACTCTCTCTGTATACTCATCCTACTTCTCTCCCTCACACCCTCTCTCTGTGTCAGCTCTCCTCTCACCTAGAAATGATGCAGAGTCCAATCACATGAGAGTCTGTTCGTTGGCCATCGCTAGGTACGTCCACCTGTTCCCACAGCTGTTCTTCGTCCCTGGTTACCCCAGCCCCAGCCCCAGCTTCTTCTTCCAGCGCAGCTATGGACGTTGTGGGACGAGCAGCTTAAAGTGGCTACTCCTCACCTTTCTTCTCCCTTAATGAGCACTGGCCTGCACACAGGCACTTGCCACAGAGCTAGTGCTTGCAGCAGTGCCTCCGAACGTGTGGAATGTAGCAGCCTCCTCCCTTTTGTCATTTTCTGGAGGCCGCGTCTTGGTGGGCGATGGGGAGATACCCAAAGTGAGAAGTGGGGGCTACCGGTCAGTTGGAAAGGCTGGGGTCCAGCCTTCTGCAACTGTACAGCGCCGACCTTCTCTTAGGGGCGGCGCAATCTTTGCAACCCCCGCCCCACCTTCACTTGGGACCGCGCGCATCTTTCCAAGGCCAGCTCCTTTTCTGGGCACACTAAGGTCTGGACTCTGGAGCCTCGCAAACATCCCTTGCCGGCGTTGCCGTTGTAAAAGTTGAAAGCCGATTCAATGCCCTGAGAATGGATTAATGGTGTAACTCGCGGAAAAATCTCTTTATAAGTTTATAGTACTCTATACCAATGTTTGGTTATGCAAAAGCCGATTCAACGCGCCATTTATCTTTGGCTATATTCTTGTCCGTGCTCCACAGCTCCACAGCTGCATAATGACATTGTCCATTTGTTCAATTTTGTTGTATAATAAAAAATGACTGTATTTTTCTCATGTTTCAGTTTTCAATTCCATCTGTCTGATTTGCAAAATATGGCATCAATGGGTATTGCAGCTACTATTGCTGGAACTGAAGTACTGGTCACAATTATGCGGTTGTGATTCTTGTGAACAGGAAACGATGTGGAGGTTCGCAGTGTTATCTCCGGAGCAAGACTGCAAGGGAACACTCTGGTTCGTGGCACAGACATTAATTTTTTTTTGTTTTAAGTCTTTAAGACATGACTTCTTTGCCTTTGCCTGCTCCTTGTAAAGTCAAAAAGAAACAAAAAAAGGGCAACGGCCTTGAGATATCGTCATTTGAAGGCCCTAGGTAATTCAAAATTGCAGTAGTTTACTCGTCTGCTTCACCTGCTTCGAGTGGAGTTCGAACTCCGGTCTGTCTTTCAACTGTTCGGGGGTGTACCAACTGTGATCTTGGCCTGTGCTTGTCCTATTAGTGTCATGTGTCAGTATCAGGTGGAAGAGGCTCCAAGTATGCCTACTGTGCCATGGGGGGCGCCTGCCGCACCGGGCCTGAGAGGTCCTTTTTGAGGCCCACGACCGACCAAGAGGGCCTCAGCCAGCACAAGAGCCGAAGTAATTGAGTCTCAGGCAGGCAGGCATGTGGATATTTTATCTCCTCTGAGTTGGTTTTGTTTATGTTATTATAATTTTGTATGCTACTTATTTTTCAGTGGACCCGCTTGGTCATGACATGGGCACCGTTCACCGGCATGTGCAAAGACAGAGACAACAGACCAAGGCCCAAGATGGAAATTGTGCGCTGTGGTGGATGGTGCAACTGCATCCCGCACTCTGTAGGACACAGTCACACAGTTGGCAGTTTCCCTTGTGTCCGGGGAGCTTCTGGATTTCGCCAAACCTCTTTTTCATCTCAAGGGTTGCTTGGTTCAGTTGTCCATCCTGTTGTGACAGCCTCTCCTTGCCGAGGGAAAGTGTGTGCGGCCTTTAGCTCGATGTCTCAACTGTAGTGAAAGCAACCAGTTGACGTCAGCGGCAGCAACCAAAGTACAGATGTTGCTCATGCAGACCTCCACGACGACCAGGTACGTGCTCTCACATCCCCCTCTCCACTCGCCCTGTCATTGCTCACCCTTGTCTTCTCCCTCACGCTCCTTCTCCGACCGAGGACCACCACCGTACTCCTATGACCTCCCTGCACCCAAGCCCGGCTATGGAGGGCTTGGCTCTGCGCTGCTACACAGCAGCGCTCTTCTCCCCTCTGCGCCCACGTGCACTCGCACACCTCTCAGTCAGCGGCCTTCCAGCACCCAGAGTGGCAGTGCTGCCGCGTATTCACAAAGTGCAAGAATGCCTCACTCGTGGCCAGGCTCTTGCCTATACGGAAAGCAGCCTGGCCTGTAGGCTGCTTGACTGGGAGGCCTGTGTGCCCAGTAGCTTCACATTGGGCCAAAGTGTCTGTGCCCAGGCCCGTTCAGACAGTTGCATGGGCCCACAGCAGTCAGGCGCGCCCAACAAACAGCCCCTGTACGCCCTGACGTGTTCCCGGCCTTGTTATAGGCCGAGAGGCCTGCTTCCACGTTGAAGCAAGAAGAACCTGGAAGGCTCACGGAGGATTCTGGTCCTCGCAAGCGGGTCACATGTAACCAAGCGGCACGTGGTAACTGCCTGGCGCCCACCAGGACCTGCAAAATTGCACTATTCAGGCCTGGTGGAGAATCTGGAGATACAGGGGCCCGCCTTCCCTTAGGGCGGCGGGCACAAGGCCTGTAGTAGGGGGCACGTATACGCATGCCAAGGGCTCATATCCTCACACAAGGCTACACTGTGCCGTGTTGCAGGCAAATTTGCAGCACTACCGGAGTTCTGCAGCACCAACCCCATTGTCAAATGTCAGGGTTGAGGTGACCTACTTTCAGTTGTATCTTATGAAGTTTGGGAGGGAGTCTCATGCAATTGTATGAGGACATTGAGGCACCGCTGTTGAACGTCTGCATTCATGTTGGTCAAGCTACCTGAAGGGCTTTAATCGATGGTCGGGTGATGGCAAACATGGTTAGCCAGTCCTTTGTCGGCAATGCTGGCTTGTGCCCTAGGGTTTGTCGGAGACGACATGCCCTGCATAAGGTTGCCTTGGCAGATGGCAGTGGGCTCGGTTCCTTGAGTCAGTGCCCCTGTACTGTACCCCGTATGCATAGCAGGCGATTGACTTTGATATTTTAGACACCCACTTCGACATGATCTCAGGCACGACTTCGCTTGACAGTGAGGGACCCATGGTCAACTTCACACTCGCATTGTCCACCCAGTGCTCTTTTGTTTGATTGAGAGCATTCTCGCGTAAAGTCTCTGAGGCATGGTTGCATCCCCGCCGACCGCCAACCCCAACCGCCGACCGGTCGGCGGTCTGCCGACCAGTCAGAAAACAACCATCCACCAATTTTTTATGAGATCTGAGTTGGAAGCTGTACTGCGCTTGCTGAGTACAGCCCAAATCCGCTGAGAAACT